GTTTTCCATGCAAAAGGAAACAATTTCAGCCAAAGAGTACTTAAATACTTTAAATATTTTCCACAAAACAAGGACACTTAAGAATTCTGTTTCTGGACTGGAGTCCCCTGCACTAGTGAAATGAATAGTTACCCTGTCATGTGAGCTAGAGAGCTACTCACCACCTTCCAGCATCTGAAAGCGGTACAATAAAATCTTCCTTCTCTTTTTGCTTTAAAAGCCTACAATACAAGGACATTCATTTCTTTTTCAGCTATGTAATTTCTGTGAAAGAGTCTTCCTGAGGGGACATCATGAAACTCAGAAGACAGGGAACAGGTGAAGATGCACACTGATTCCTGAGGAATTCCAACTCCCTAGAAGCAATTTCTTTTTGGCCCTGTACAGCAACATGCCACGTGCACGCTTGCAGTGCAACTGAGCCGCAACGGTATGTTTTGAAATGGACCCCAGATTTCTGCACAAAACCTTAAAAAGTCACCCTAAAATGTCTATCTGCTCCACGTTTTTCAGCAACAGCGGAGCGATACCTTTGTCCCTAACAGCTGCTGATCAAGGAGTTCAACCTCAGTGAGCTACAGAGCTCAAAAACTTACATAAGTAAATGTAGACAGCGGAGAGGAAGCCCAGCATCTCCTTTCAGTGTCTGGACAGAGATGGACAGATACAGACAGCCTTTAGCACAGCCTGAAGGATCCCAGATTTCCTAGAGCAAAACCTCATGAGATTCTGTTGTGAAATCACAGGGACAGCTTATTCCCTGCTCAAGCCATACAGAAGGTGCAAGGGACAGAACAAGAACCCTCAAGAAGTTGAGGTCTCCCTAACAAAATCAACTGCCATCAGATGGAACACTTTTAGAGAGCGCTGGACACATCAATCTTGTCACCAGGTTCTCAGAGCAGGGCTATGGGTGCCGTGAGCAATAAACAGATCCCACAGTGGTCCGAGACCCTAAACACATGGGGAAAGTTTAACCCAACCTTTTCAGAGCTCTAGGACAGCAGGGTTTGAAAGTACCAACACTTCAACAGGGTAAGGGGAAAACAGAAACCGAATAGTTATGCTCACGGCAGACTAACTTTCAGCTTTAGCATTTGGTCCAGAAGGACTAACAGTCCGTGTACACCAGCAGACCAAAGACAACCAGGTTCTCTCAAAAAATTTACAGCTATTGATTAGCAGCATCCACATTGTACACAGATATCCTAACACGATGAGCCACCTGCATCTGCACTGCAAGACATTCAGCAAGACTGGAGCGACACAAAGACCTGGATTTTTACATTAACAGATACTGAAGGAGGCAAAATGCTTTAAAAATGTCAACCTGTAAGAGGAGTCCAGCACAGCAGACTGGCTGGAAACCCAGACCCCAGAATCTGGCTGTCCCAGCAAAGTCAAGCAGCCCCAATGCAAAATATGGTACAGGACATATTTCTTCTGTGGAATCATCTTTGGTAGGAGGCAGCTGCTCCAGGAAAGAGTGCATTTAACTCTGTACACACTGCTGGGTAGGGAATCAGTACAGAGCACACTGGCACCACTGTATCTCAAGTCAGTTCTAGAGGGCTACAATCTGATCAGTGCAGAGCGACGGGACAAACGCCAGAACTCTTCCTTGCCCTCAGCCTCCTGAGGCAGAGCCACAGGAAGAGAGGATTTCATCAACTGAACTGGGTCAATGGCGACTCACAAGCCTCAGCAATTACCACAAAAGGCCAGGAGATGTAACAGTGAAAACTTACATCTCGGACTTGACTCTGTGCCATACTATATTGGGAAGCGACCTTCTAATGTTTCCCCAGGGCTCAAAGCCCCGAGGTATGGCTAGTGCTAAGTCTCAAGATCTGACAGAAAGAACAACATCCAATATTAGTTCTGTAATTCTCTTCTGAAAATCCTGCATGTCCAAGAACACTTACCATAAATACAAGTACAGTGAGCAATGGAGCAACCATCCAGTATTTGCCCACTGACCCCAAGTACTGATTCACTCATCACAAGTTAAGCAAAGCCATGTCTGGAAGCGCTTTAGAAATGCAATACACAGACTGGAGAATGAAGAGACCAGCGCCCTATCTTTCCAGCATGATCAGGAAGAGCTGAAGGAGCACTGCACCCTGTCTAATGTTCATCTACTGTGTACAAGCTTCTCTTTACAGTTACTGCAAAAAACAGAAAAAGAAGTTATGTCTCAGATAACAAATGCATAGGGTTTTTTTTACCAGCTGCTATAATCCAATGTGTACACAGAGCAGAAAATTTTTAGTAAAGAATGAAAACTGACACTATGGTTTGCTGCTACTTCCAACTTCCTATAGCATTCATCAATAATGAAATAAAGGATGAGTGGTCTAGTGGTTTCAAAGAGTTTCTCTACATTTTATAAGCACAGTCTAATATACAGAAAATAAGACTGTTCAGTACCATGCTGTACTGGAAACAAAACCTAACAACACATATACTCTGATCATAATGAAATACTTTGCTCAAAACAAAACTCTGGCTTTCAGATCGATTCTTGAGGCAAAGTAATCAGTCACCAGAAAGCTAAGGCTATTTCAGTGAGTGACTGAAATGCAGTTTTCTGTTCAAAACTGCATTTCAGGCAGAAGACGTTTTCTGCCCTACGTTTCATTATTAAAGAATTGAGAAAAATATAGTATCAGTCATTGTTTTATGAAAAATAAGAATTAGCAAACATGGATTTTAACTCTACAAATTAAATCAATAAAAGCAACTTCAAAGACAAAATGCTTGGATTTAATAGAATGTCATGAGGGCACCAAAGCTCTGATTTTATTGAAAAGAACTAAACTGTTCTAAAAAGTCTAATTCAAACAAAAGGAGAGGTTACATCCCTCCTGTCCAGGCCACTCAATGCCACTACATCTTACATGCCAATATTATGACTTATCTGACCTCACCGAAACCAAGGTTGGGGAGGTAAACAGGTTTTTCTGCAGCTCTACTTTTCTAACAGTTTGCCATAAGGTCAGAAGAATGCAAGTGGTGCACAAGAACAGCAGAACTCTGCCACAAGACTGCTCTTTTCAGGGGCAGCCAAACATCAGATCTGCTTAGAGCAGAGTTTTACAGTACAGAAATAATGCAACCATGAAGGGGCAGAAAGAAAAGCAAAAGGAAGAAAAAAGAAATTGTACGGTTTTTTTAGAAGGTTCCTGAAGAAGCCAGTTCTTAGTTACGGATATTCCAAAACTATCAGTGAGCATGGAGAAGACTGGTAATCGCTTCTAACAGTGTTGCAAGTGAACAAAAAATTAGGTAACAAAAAAATTAGGTGGTCTGACCAACATAGCCATGGAGCTAAGCACTTGCAATCACTTTAAGGAAAAGCAAGCATTTTGTCCACAGGCATTCAAGGACTCCATGCAGTGCTAATGGGAATTTTACTTTTGATTCTTCAGAGGGTTGTTAAGAAAAACCTGAAGCACACAAGCATATGCTTTGGGCTTTAAACTACCCAGCACAGTCAAGTTCAAAGTTAAGTTAACCACACTTTACCGGAGCATTCACCAGTACAGGAAACAGTGTGAAGCAGACTCTCGAACTCCAGGTCACGATGTGTCTTCCTTCCCATTTCAAATATCCTTACCTCCCACACAGACAATTTTGTGCTTATTGGAAAGTCTAAGGTGTGGACCAGCCGTGACATTTGACGACTGGCTTGCTATTGTTAAACAAGTGGCCTTACTTCCTTGCAAAAGGACCCTCTAGAGCAAGCCTCGACTTCTAAGCATCTCAAACTTGACAAAATCTAGGCTGAATACTCAGCTATCACAATATTCAAGAAAATCAGTATTTTATTACTATTTAATGATGATTTTACATATCCATTCCACAAGTACAGATTTAGATAGACAGCTATCATGTGAAACTTCATCTGAAAGAAAACAGGAAAACTAAAGACATGGAAATCAGAGAAGCCATTCTGGAAGTAAATGCTAAAGTTTTTAATTATTCAGTTCTCATGTCTATTCTCAAGCATATAAAATAAAGTACTGAAGTCAGTTAACACACGAAGAATTCTCATGTGTTTCATCAGCTTTCATGAAGTTTTTACAAGACAGGGAAGTAGCTTCAGACCTGTTTCATTATGGATTAGATAATTATCTAAATCAGTATTGCTAGATTCTGAAATACAAGATTAAGCGTGTGCAGCAGAAAATTCCACAAGGCAATCATCTGCAGGCTGAGAACAAACAAGCATGCATCGCTAGTTACTAGCACAATTACTTTTATTTACAGAAACAACTATGCTCTCCCACTAAATCCAAGATTCCATGAATTCTCAACAAGAATAACCAGAATTTGTAAATTAACATTTTAACAGTGCAAGAATTAAAACATCTTCACAGAGCAGATAAAAAGCTCCTGAAACTAAATAGATACAGCTTATGGAACCAGTTGCTCTACCAGCATTTGTTTGGTTTCAAGGAAACAATAAGTTTCACAAATCTGATTAATTCATTCCTCTCATTTTTTTTAAAGCTACTTCTAACAATCCTATTTAAAGACCAAGTTCAAGAACAAATTCTTGAAGAGTGGTAAGGCCCACCTTTTCAGCGTAGCGTTTCAGACATGCCACACCTCTATTTTACTGATCAAAATCAGATCAAAAGGTTTCTTTACATATTCAGAGCTCTGGTAGAGTCAAAAATGCTCAGACTGTAGGAAGAATAAGCAAGCTGGGGACCAAATTCAAACCAGTTTTAGATACGCCTATTGTTGTTCAAATTTGGAAACTCTACTTCTTTGAATTCTTCACCACATACAGAATAGTCATTAATTTAGCCATAAGCGTTCTATCTTCCCAATACTCGATGTCTAGTCTTAGCATTACTGTAGTTATATGCATACTTGTCAATAGTTTGATTGCACACACAAACATTTAGTATTTCTACATTAAATTGCATTCAATTATTTGCTTGAGCAGTCCATCACAAAGTAAAAATTTCTTATATACGAGACTATACCTGCGACTTTGTCCCGAATAAGTTTCGCAGATTCAACTTCGCCAATGCTGCTAAATAGACTTCGTAACTCATCTTGCGTCATGTTCTGAGGGAGGTAGTTCACAATTAAATTTGTTCTACCAATATCATCCCTGCAATCTTCAGCCATGTGATCTTCATAACCATTAGACATTTTATAATATATCTGCAAAGAGAAAAATCCCAAGTAAGTTCTAGATCTTTGCATTTCAATAAGCCGAACTTTGTCCACCTGAAAGAAGTTTGAATATTTATTTTTTTAAAAACTGAGAACAAGCAATTGTTTCAATTACACATTTTTTCCACTCAAACAAACATTATTTGTTGAAAATTCCAGGACTATTCATTGTTTCAAACTAACAAGCATGCCCTTTTACAAAGCTGTGTACCATTAAAGAGCTCTTAAGGGTTTTGGGTTTTTTTTTTAAACGTTAATAAAAGTCATCGAGACAGAATTTGTAGACATTCCTGTAAACACCAACATACAACAGTTGAGTTAAAAACCATGTTCACTGTGTCCAAGCACTTGACTAGCCAGAATCAAAACCACCACCTCAACCTTAATTCCAACCTTATGCTCAGAACTTAAACAACAGAAAGAGGAGCAGCAGCCAGATCTACCAGACACAGCGCAGTATTTCAACCAGGGACTATTTATTTCCTGAACTGTTTTCTCCTTTACATGTTGCCTACCCCGCATCTGAAGGCCCTGTTATCGTTAAGTGGTTGCCTTCGGGTGACTGCTTAATTGGAAATGGATTAATCTATACTGGAACACCGCATATTGAGTATTTGATAGAGTTTCTATTTTCACACCTTTTTAAAGAAAGCCTTGAGAAAGCACTCAGAAGTTCCACCACATTAAGATACTCCCTGCCTTACTCAGCCACCAGCAGGGACTGAAGCCTGTCGTTTCAGATGCCGAGGACATCTACAACTCAAACTCACAGCGGGCCCAAGCTGCTTCTCCTCCATGGCCTGCCAGTAGATTTTACAATGCTTTTACAACTACTTCGAAACTGTCACAATTGGGATACCTAAACCCCATGCCTGCAACAGGAGAAGGTGGTGGTCTAGGAGATTCAGGCAGTTCTCTGGAAAACACCACCAAGCCAACGTCTATGGTTCCAGTCTGGTTCTCAAGTCCACTACTGCAGTTGTTCATCCTCTCTGAGAGCGCCAAACATCTCTCGCTCCAAAACAACACAGTTTTGTTTAACAGCTCTTCAAAACCAGCTGTGAAGCACACAGAATTAACAGAAACGCTGAATTCATGGCCTCCTAACCCTCAGTTCAGCAATCCTCCTCTTAAATTGCACTATTTGTGCGTTTTAGCACAGCATCCAGACACTCTGGTCTATTCACATCACAAAGACATGTCAACTTAAACATCACTGCAACTTTATGGTGTAAGTATGAATATTTCCAATTCAGACTCCACTAGTGAGAGGCATAAAATCTTATTTTAGTAGGTTATTTTTTTATAACCTTATCAAAACACTTATTTTTTGATTAAATTAAGGCTAATCTGAGATAATTGAGTCTCTTTAATCCAGAGTTCTCACCCCAAGAACAGACCAGAGGTTTGGCTGCATTTAACTAAATCAGCAGGGCTTGCTTAGCTAATCATCTGTTCCTGCAATACTCACCTTACCAGCTCTGTAAATTCAGATTCAAACCACCATATTTCCAGAATAAAGGTAAATGAATGCTTCACCTGATGCAAGAGATCAGTCTAATAACAAATTCAAGAACTGGAAATTTAGCAGACTTGAAACTAACTCCCTTCTGAAAGTTTAGTGTCAACCTTCCAAGTCCAGCATGAAACCTACTCCTCACTGAATCTCCCAGTGCCACAACAGAACAATTCATTACCTCAAAATGAACTTTGTGTTACTTCAACAGAACTTTTGGCCAATACACTCATTTGGCCGAAAGAATAAATAAAATGCTATAAATACGCAACTACTACTAAAATTCCTCTAGTTGCAGTTTGCCAGAGAACTGAGCATCTCATCTGAAGCAGGTATCAATAGCACAGTGCTAATCTCACCTGAGGGGATAATCAATCCAAACTGAATTAGAACAGTTTAAAATATTGCTATCAGCCACCAGTAAACGTCAGGTCAAGTGTTCAGAGGATGCAAAAGCTTCTAGCTCATCGCAACACAGAGCACGGCGGCAAGTATCACATAAATCAATGCTGTCTACATTCACCAATTCACTGTTACATTAAGGTGGGTCAGAAGCATTCCTATGTCCACATATACTTCTCAAATACAGCGAGCTTGAGTTACAACCACTAACACCACACAACAACTACGTAGCATCAGCTTTTTGTGAAACTACCCCACCACCCTCTATGCTAAGGGCCTGAGCAGCAACGGTACGCTGCTCTATTCTACAGATCAGGGTAAAGGATGAGCCTTTCCAGGGACCACGCCACTACTGACAACCAGAAGTTGAACAATGGAAAGAGTCAGGAACTGCAACTAGAAATCCTAAATCTAGAAAGGGAATGCTGCCTGGTAGCTATTGTTAAGTCATGTTTGGCATTTATTTCATACTTTCTTCTTGTGAAGGTCAGATTTCTTTTCAATGGCATTAACCGAGTACACCATTTTAGAATAAGCCATGACTAGACTCATGTTAATTTGAGATTTAACACAGTATAAACTGAATGGGTTAGGGTTTTTTAAATGTGTTGAAGCATTCACAGCTGACATCTTATAGAAGGAAAGGTCCTGCTCCCCCTCGCACACTGACTAGCCTTCTACCTCCCATTTCTGTGTTTCGAGTATCAACATGAACAAGCCCCAGCACCTTCTGCCCACGGGATAGCTACTTTGTACCACGAGAGCACGGAAAACTACACCAGGAGGGAAGGACTTTTTGTTCTGTCAGCAGTTTTAATCTGCTTTCCTTGCAGCAAGATAAGCACCAGTTAATGCCAGAGGACAGGAGAGCAAGAGGAGAAACTGCAAAGCTAGAGGCAGGGGAAGAGACTCCCCCCCATCAGATGATTTTAAGCTGCCAGGTTGTCTCAGCTGTACTGTGAAATTATGTCATTAAATACACATTCTCTTCCAGCTCTGTCAAAACTGTCTGAGCACAACCTCTGAAAAGTTTCTCGTTCTGCTAAATGACACTCAAACAGCTGAACCTTCTTTGTTCAATGTACCTGAGCTATAAAATCAGATGACTTATGTTTTGAAAATTGTTTTAATGGAATGCAGCTTTGCTTGCCTTTGTCCTATATAAAATTCAAGCTGTACAAGCACAACACACCAACACGTTAATGAGTATGGAAGTTGTACAGTACAATTAGAGTATTCAGCAAGCAAAGGAAGAAGCGTTGAGATTTTCCCAGCTTTATGAAAGTTCAAATTCCCTTCACTTCAACCAAATTCTCCCAAGATACAATACAAATCTTTCCTGCTGCCATGATTCTCCTCCTGTCAAGTTGAGAAGTTGCTATCTATTTCCGATACTTTAAAAAAAAAAAATCTATTTTCCTTATCCCCTAAGGTATATCTGCTGCCTAAAAAGCAAGCATCACAGCTAAATACTGAGCACAGAAAACTCCAACGCACCACGATGGCAGGTCACCAGACTTACATCTGGCATTAAGCAAAATTGACAGGAGTTTGGTGAGTGGCTATCAACTAAATCATTCTACCACAGCCTCTAATCTCACTGCAATACTTCCATCTACATCTCCCCATGACAAACAAGGAGTGCCAAGGGCACTGTTGATTCAGAAGCAATTAGAACTGTGAAGGAAGCCTTCCACCTGCTTTTATTGAGACATTAGAAAAAAAGTATAGAGTCCTTGGATAAAGGACTGGCAACATTTTCATGGGATACCAGGAACAAAAGCATGCAGAAGCGGTAAAGGCATAGTAGAGAAAAGGAGAGTGCGCTAATAAAGAAGATGCTTCTTCCTTCCTAATCTTTCACCAAGCACTTACACAATCTACTGCAAGACTTAACACTTTCTGGCCATCCTGGAAGTTAGTGGGAAACCACTTCCTCCGCTGGTGGTTGAACAGTTCTCATTCCAGTGAGAATAAAAACAGCCCCTGAAGAACTGTTAACCTTTGCATACTGAAAAGAATTCCAAAAAGAAAAGGTGGTAAAAGATGGTCAGTATGGATGAAATTAGAAATGCTACATAGATAGCAAGTTTTTTATTCCACTCTCACTGACATATGTTGAAGGAGTCTCCTGATCCTTTTTCAGAGGGATCAAATTATATCAGTAAATATTCCAGACTTGAGAACTAAGCCTAGAAGCTAACTTGGATCTGTAACTTCATTAACTGACATTCGTCAGTCCACACTGACATAAATCAGAAGTCTGACTGCACTTATATTCTCAGTGGTCAGGTCAAGGACGGAAACAAGACCTAACATCTCCACTCAGGAAGGCTACCTGTAATAAGACTGGTCCTTTGCAGCCTCTCCAAAAAAGGTCTTCAATTCTATGTCCCAAAAAAAGGAATTCTTAAGACTAAGTTCCATTGCACTGCAGTTCTTAAATGAGATTTTTTTTTTAACTAACCATATCCTGTAACAGCTTGTTTTAAAAGGCAGCCTTCTTTTTCTTCCTTGTGTAAGATGCCTTCAAACTTAGGATGCAAGGATGCACCCAGCAACCACCAGGAACCATCTGTACTGTGCCCAAATCTTCCATTAACTCTGGAGGGGCTCAAATTCACAGCGCTTCACTATCTGCTTCAAAGACTGCTCATTCACCAACAGCCAGGTGTGCATTCTCAAGACTGGACTGAAAAGCTCTCCAGGCTTTTTTTTTTTCAGAAACATTCCACTGACCATGACAATCACCTTCTCACAAAAGTACACAAGATCCCAGAAGGTTTAAAAGAAAAATGTCACAAATGGTTCTGGCAGCAGACCAATAAAAGCTTCTTCCAAATGACACTCAGTATCTCCATCTAGAATTCTAGGATACAGTGCAGTTAAGTCTTTCACTGTGAAATGTTTGCTAAGAAGACAGGCCTGTATGGATCTGAGGACATGATCTGAAACAGGAACATCAGCAAGATAAATAACTGTCGGTTTTCAAGATCAGACAAGAGGCTCACCCACACCTTGTTCACAGGTCTGCTCTACTGGGATCACAAACTCGAATGCAGACACCTCAACAGATGATAGGTAACATAAGC